AACTTCGCAGCAGATGTGCTTTCGTCGTGGGGGGGGGGGTGGGACACTACTGCAGTACTATTGGATAGTGACGTCAGGTACAGACCGGACAGCTACTACGTGGGGAAGGCACATCAAGGACACGTCAGCTTTGCCAACCCCTATTACTCCAAATGGGATCAAACCCTCGAACTGCTAGCACCTCCGGAAGCCATACTCGGCCAGATACTATACGAGCTAGACCGTCGATTACAACGAGCAGTCATCATCATACGAATTTGGCGGAAAGCCATATGGTGGCCGCACATAGTCAGACACGGCCTCGACCTTACAATCCTCGACGATGGGGTAGTACATTACCCGGACAGTATTGCTCAAGTACTAGGGCTCTCGTTCCATCGACACGTCTGTATGCCGCAGTGCTATACCAACCGCTCGGCAGCAATCCGAAGAGGAAATGAGAGCAGAGCTAGACTACAATACCGTGATTCAGCAACTGAACAACGGAGGCCTAGCCGAAGGTACCCAGCGCAATTATCAAGTGGCCATGAACTATTGGAACAAATACGCATCCGAGAACAGCATTGATTCTGCAGTTCCCCATCGAAAACATATGATCGCGTTTTTGGCCCACTGCTTCTTCGATAACGCACATCCCAACAAAGTTCGAGCAATCCGCGCAGCAATCAACAGCTACGCACGACAGCACGCTATGCCGTTGATATCCGAGGACGACTGGCAACGATCAATTCAAGGATATGTCAATCCATACCATCGCATCGGCCGGTATAATACTAGTCCAACGAGACCCAAGGTTGATGCATCAGGGATAGTTCGTATATTAGACGCTCCAGGTATTGCTAACGCATGGAAAGCTTTACTGACCGTCTTCTGGTTAACCGGCGCCAGGAGACATACAAACCAAACATTCGCCGCCGACTCATTCACATTCATGTCGGAAACGCACAAACTGCTAATTGATCTTAAGAAAAAGAAGCGACAGGAACGATCTTCCCAGGCCGTGTCAATTTCCCGACCAGTGGATGTTACCACATATGAGTTCCTCGATAAATATTTGCCCGACGCCTTCCGCCCGCCGTACTTCTGAACAGCATGACTCGCGGAGCAGGCATCGAACTCGTCCGCTCGATTTTTGAGAGGGTAGGAATTTCAAGCGCAGATACCACCAAATATATACACTGGCACAGCTTTCGGAGAGGCTTTGCACAAAGTGCGTTCAGCCTTCGTGTTCCGGACGATATAATCCCCGGTATTATGAGTGTGGAACGTACGTCGCTCGAGGACCGCCGCTTAAATGGGTATTTATTAGAGGAAGCCTAACTTCCAAACGGTGAAGGGACTGCGAGCAGAGGTTATGGCAACAAATAATATTACAGAATGTGTTACACATTCATTTTTATTATTATGGAACAGGGAGTAGATCCAGGTGATTTTTTACAGAATCGTGTGGTCACAGAGTAAATCACCTAGTGATTTAATCAGTGACTCACTGATTGTGTAAATAAATCTCTGTCCTACTCCGCGTTCTTTTGTCGTGCAACTCGAAAGTTGTATTATAAAAGGACGAAAGACAGAACACTGTCTCTCATCCTTTTCTCCTTCTACTTCCCACCCACACCGCCCCTTTTCATCCATATCTCCTTCAGCACCGTTTGCGAGCAAGGATGTCAGTTTTCTCCACGGCATTCTCAGCTAGGAGTGGTGACTGGCCCCCCCACACAAATGCAAAGGTGACTGCCTGTACATACATTGATTAGGTTGGCCTACCTATACAGCTAAGACAAGCGCCCATCAATAAGAGCCAGGTCTAATGAGTACACACATGCCTACAATTACCAGCACAAACGTACCCATTTTACACTCATCACACCGGC